TTGCGCTGTACACTGTGGTATTTTGATTTTACCCGGCCTCACTCTTTCGTTCCAGTTTATTTAGCTGCGTAGGCAATGAATTTCGTCTCTGATGGTGTATGCAGGTCGGCGCTGCGGCTCGATTGAAGAGTTGTGGGTTTTGAGGACTCTGAAAACGACCAGTCAGCAAGCGTCCACCCGCTGGTGCACCCACCCACCCACCCCCCCTTCCATCATCCCCCAAAAGTCTGTATCACACGCCACCAACGCAACTGACCAAAAAGACCCACCGGACCACGGACCAAACCACCGTATCACCGACTGGAACAGAAAAAAAACCAGTAACAAGGCACCCGCCACAGTTACCGACCTCGCCGACCGATCGGACCGTCCGACCACAGAGGGCATACCTTTCCCCGTTTTCTCACATAACGTTCCTGCTCCGCGCTCCTGCTTTATCTTTCCCCCGACCCCACCCTTATCCCCTTTCAGCTCGTTTTGCAGATGTGTTTCCACATTCCTACTCACTCCACTCCATCCCCCTTTAGTTTACAACTAACGTTTTACAACCAGAGACAGCATTTTCGACATGAGAACGCCCATTTTACAATTGACTGAGGTCTCTGCTGCTCTCAAGCAGGCAGGAAGAGTGCCTTTTTCTGTTAGCCGATGGGCTGTTCAAGAACCTTACGCGCAGTGGGGCCTCATATCATGAAGGCAGTGTTGCATCCGCCTGACCTGGAGCCTGCCAGGCACCTTGACCTGAGACCGGTGCGGCACCTGAACGGCCTAAGACCTGTGCTGCACCTGCCTCACCTGCAACCTGCACGGCAGCAGTGCATCCTACTGCACTGTTTGGCGAGAGGGAAATGCTTGTGACACCATGGCGCAAAAAGAAATGCTGGTCGCGCAAAAAGGCGGTGGTGCTGGCCCTGCCCTCTGCGTGACAAGCAGGGCAGCAGCGTATGAACGCTTCGTTAACCAGCTCAACGCTGGCAGGCCCGGGATTGCTGGCCTCACCGATCCCTGTGCCCGGGAAACATTGCAGGACAAACTACGCATCAGGAGCGCCCGAATTGCAACCGGCCTAGTTTGCGAACTTGCATGGCTGCTCTAAAGGATGACGTAACACGGGCTCCAGGTGTTGACATTTTCAGTAAATAGGCTTGTAAAGAAGCTTCCTTTGCAACTCGCGCGGTCTTGCAAGGCTTGCGGGTTGTAAAACTGGAGGTTGTGGTTGTACTTGCAAGCCACACAAAACTCAATCCGAACCAGTAGCCCAAAATAGTTGGCCTGGTGGCCGGCCGGCCGCTTCGGCATGTCTGTGCTGTCTCCTGGGTTGTTTGGAATCCGTGTGATGTTGAGTGTGAGGACACCTAAGACGAGTAACATGTCAGGTTCGAACGTTTCAGGTCATCTGCAAAACTGCGAAGGTGTTGGAATGGTAGGCGTCAACTCGTGATCTGAGCTTTCTTGGTTCCTCATCCTTTTGCAGCTCACCGCAACTGACCCGCACCTGCAAATCTCTGGACACACGAAGCCTGAGTTGTGAAGAGTTGTGCATTTCGACACTGGAAAAACAGAATCAAATCTAACAAATGCCTACAGGCTGTCAACCTTGAATTTGCTCAGCAGCTTGCTACATGCCTCAGCTCGAGCAACGCAACATGCACGCTAGAAAATGCAGCAGCCAGGGCCCAAGCGTGATTCGCGGCTGCGGCTGCGCTCCCTCTGTTCGGGGACCTGTGACAAACTGAGGAAGTGCTATCCTTTGATTCCATGCCGGGGTCGTCTTAAGAAAACGATTTGCTACAATGCTGTAGGTTCCTAGTTTCGAAAGTTCTGGCATGGTCTCACGGCCCATGGCAGACTTCGAAGATCGATGAATATTGAAGTCAAGACCCGAGTGATGCTTCCTTTGTTGTGTTTTCTTATATACTTCAAGGAGACAAAAATCGGGTCGCACGGCTTCGGGGCTAGTCGGGGGTTTGCGTCGCTCCGGCGCTGCCTCGGCCACATCCGGTTCGGGATCCTTCTCGATCTGCTTTTCAGGCTCCTTCGCTGGCTCAAGGGCATCACACAACCTCTGCCAGTTCTTCAGCAACCGAAACTCACGAGCCACAAACCATGACACAAAGGCCCGCGAGGCAATTGCACACGCTCATCAGCAGATCCCGCTAGTCCCGAACGGTTTGGGGTTGACTTTTGCTCAGGGCCCTGTGGATCGCCAACCCGCCGAGTCCGAAATCGTAAGTTTACAGGACTCCGCCATGTCCCGCCGGGGTCAATGGCAATATGCTACTGTTGAGGTCTTCAGGAGGGGACGATGAAGGACACCATCCCACCACCTGATAAATGCTGTGTTTAGGCGGTCACTGTCCTTCTTGTCTTTGTCTTTCTTCTCTTTGTCCTTCTTGCGGTCCTTGTCCTGCGACGAGAGTGCTTGTCCCGTCCTCAGACCCCGACTCCCCGGCTGTCCAAAGCCAAATCTCAAGAGTTTCTTTCCCCAAGGAACCGGATGCTGGGGCAGATCACTCCACACACTTTGACACTTCTGCACGACTGACTGCAGGGCCTTGTCTCCGCGTTCGCGGCTACGCTCCTTCTCCTGTACAAGAGTTCATCAATCGAATTCGGGTTTCCAAAACTGGCTTTAGCCCCTTCTGTTAAAGGCCGTTCCAGTGAGAAAGACCGACAGGAAGATGCAAACAGCAACTACACAAACTCATGTACACAGAGTGGTTCGCTGTCAGAAAGACCGGGGCTGGTGAGGTCATGTCAGGTCCTGGGCCCCTGCGGCCTAGGGCCCCGGGATCCATACAATCATCTTTCCGGTAAAGCCACACAACTGGCTTCGGAGAGTTAGTTCTGTGATGCGGCTATGCCTCAAATCCAACCACACGGTTGCTTTGCCCATAGTATGCAGCCTGGCTTCGGATAGGTTCATATTGGCGATTTTTTTTAAGTTTAACTTCTTGTAGGTGCCCTACTAGTAACAGAGTATTTCAGATTCAATGCAAAGTTCTTATCGAAGCATTCAGGCTCCTCTTGAGTGCCAAGCACACATCACAGCGGATCCCCCTTTGACAGGTTCATTTTGCACTGCTGTCGCTTTGCATTGGCGATCCCAACTTTCCCTCGGGGCTGGGACTAACCAATATCGATGGAAAGGCAACATCCGTTGCGAAGTGTAGCCGAATCCGCCTTGTCTTTTCGATCTTTTTTGTCTCGGTCTCTGTCCTGGCGGCTATGTCGTGCGGAGGGATTTGTACAGGCCTCGGGGAAGACGTGTTGTGCACCTGTGATGAACCCGTGCACACTTGGCAGGAACTGGAACTGTTGACAGATCGCTCTTGAACAAAATACGTTTGGACAGTCGAAATAGACGAGGACTGAAGAGCCTTCTGCGACTCTTAGGATGCATGCGGTCTGCGCACAAAGCTTCGGAGGACAAGTCGTAGTCGTGTAGGATCCGGCACTGTGGAGCAGCAGAAGAGCCTGACTGTTGCCTGTGCGGCTGGTAGACTCCGGTAGTATCAAAGAAGGATCATTCGATTGTATGCCGAGCCCGACCAAACATGTACGACAAGGAGTATGTCACAAGCAAGTGAAACCAGCTTTAACAAATGTCATGCCCCTCTAACCAGTATAGAGAATCCTTCTTGCAAGATCTGGTGGGTGGAGCCGGCATGGATGCGGCGATAAGTCTTTTAAACAGGTGCTCTGAAGACCAAGTGAGGTTCAGTGCAGAGGTAGACCGCACAGGAACAGCATAATATCTTCTGCGCCCTCGAGAACATAGGGTGGTCTGGAACCTTGTCTCGATCTCGGTCGCGATCTCTGTCCCGGTCCTGGCGGCAGCCAGAGTAAAATAAAGCCACCCGAATACACACGAACGGAGCCAAAACACCGGGCCGGACACTTCAAATCTATCCTCAAGCGGAGGCTTGTGCTGCCGAACATCACAAGGTACCTCCAGGACACCCGAGTGCCACAGGTGTTCCAGTCCTTGTCCCTGTCTTTGTCCTTCGCCTTGTCTTTGCCTTGTCAGCCCACGTTGCTAGCTCTCGCAGGCTATGTAGACTTTCTTACAAATCGCTTTCCGGCGAACAGCCCAGGTGCGACTGCGCTGCATTTTACCATTCTACCGGCACCTGATGCTTGCCCTCTTGCGGGTGGTTCCGAGTGTGCAGAACATCGTAGAATATGGTAGAATCGTACATGCCTGATGGCAGCGGCTTGGCGGCGAATAACGCTGCAGTGCCCTGTATGAAGGAAAAGCAGAGGTAGCTTTTTCGTCCTCCAAGCGTATCGAAGCAGCCAACTGCCGTCACCTCGGGTGCTTGCAACCCCGGGAAAGCCACCGCCAAAACCAAACAAACCACAAGGGAAGCCTGCACACGTTTTGGAAAGTACTTTCTGCAACAGCAAAATGACAAGACAGCTCTCTACTTCCCTGTCACCGTCGGATCGAATGACAAGGTCTTCCGGAAAATGGTGCGGTGATCTTATCTGTCTACCTTCAGTGCAGAAAACGGGTACCTCCTACAAGTACAGCATGTCAATTCCCTAGCTGTAAGGGGCCTTTGATCTCTGGAACCACAAATCGCTGATGCAGCCGTCCCGGTTGGGGAAACATGGACAAACGGCGAGAACTGAACTGCGGGATGCCGGGCCTCAGCTTCGTCCAGTATGTCGAGCTGCGTGCCCAAGCAGCCACCGGCCTCCGAGTCTGCGCGGTGTGACACCAAATCTGCGTCCGTAGTGCCACAGGCAGACCCGCCTCACATGCCGCACTGGCGGCAGCGAAGCTCCATGCCTCAGAAAAGCTAGCACAGACACAGGCGGGATCGCACAAGTACAGCCAATTCAGTGACGTGAGGAGCCTGTGTGAGATTTATAAGGATTGGTCCGTCTGCAGTCCGTGTCACATCTGAAACCTTCAAGTGAGCCATGTGGCTATCACACTTTGAGCCCGTGCAAACTGTGCGAACAGATCATGCTCAAATGCATGCCGCCATTCAACGGCTAGGCCAAGCAAGAGTGCTCAACATCCATCTCTGCATGTGCCCGGGCGCATCCATCATGCAAGCAGCATCTCGCAAGGAGGCGAAGAAAGTCAACGTGTGGCGCCACTCTGTGGACCTCTGGTAGGTTCCCATCCTTGCGTCGAGCCAGCTCGCTCTTGTTGAGTTCAGTGTTTTCGGAATCCCACAAACCGAATTAAACCTTGGGACTGATGCTGAGGGTAAGTGTCAAAGCATTGCACGTCATCACATCTGCCGGTTGCAGCTGCATGCATTGGAGCAACGATTGCGCCTGCTGCCACTGCCTAAGATGCATGCGTGACATGTTCTTTGCCGAGGCGGTCTCTATGCCGATTTGTCTGCGAGACAAAGCACTATCTGGTGTCCACCTGCTGCAGCAACCGTTGTCCGACAGACATCCATGTTAGGGAGAAGACTTACTTGCACAGTATGCAACAAGCCACAACCGACAGAGCATACACAACCCTTAGCAAGTAGATCAGGTGTCTGTGAGGCGCACTGTCTGTCACATTTTACAGACTTGGATTCAAATCCTAGTAGCTTTTTCAAGGTTCTGATGGCTAAGCAAAGTGACTGTGTGGTTGAATGCACAAGAGTGGAAGCCGTTCCGTGACCCATCCGAACTTCGCACGTTGTCCCGGCCAAGATGCAAGCTTCTTCTGCACGTAAGCATAAGGGATCCATAGGTGATGGCCTTGCGTTGGACGTTGGTTCTCATGGAAAGAAAGTTGTAGTTCACAACATGCCGCTGTCGTGCGGTGGAAAACGTTTGCGGCAAATGGCTTCCAACTTTCCACGTTCAATCAGATCAAGTTCTCCAGGGCACGCTCCCTCTCAAGGCAGCACGTCGCAGATCTGCCAGCCTAGTTGTTTCCACAAGGACCGCGAACGTCGACTCACTCGACCGCCCTAGCTGTCCTAGCTACAAACTGCGAACTGCACAGCCTTTTTGGGGTATGTGGCTACCGACGGCTAGCAAAGCAATAGCACTGTGAAGAATGGTCTGTGGTCTACTTCGATCAGCAGCAGCGCTTTATCATCTCTTCCAGGGCCTACGGCAAGAAGATTCGATGCACCTGATTTCAAAAAGCCCAGCACAGGTCGAAAGTTTTAAACCCCCGGTTTGGCGACTCGCATCCGGCAGAATGCCGCAAGGGTCCCAACAGGCCTCATCTTTTCAAAACCCACAGCAAGTCCCGAAACCTGACAGAGTTGCATGAGGCCTTGTCCAAACTTTCGAAACATTCCACCCAAAATGCGCACGAATCAGGAATGAGAAACCTGTTACGGTCCGAGCTTCAGAGATGCCGCGCAGCGCCACTGCCAGCCGGGTACAGACGAAATAGATCCCTGGTTCATCTCACGGGTATATGCAGGGTGATACGGATATGCGTGGCTCTGAAGATGGTCCCCGCATGTCCCCACGGCATTGCAGGCAAACGGGATCGCAATCGGTAGAACCCCTTTGTTGTGTCTAGAGTTTAGAAGGCTTGATATGTCGTGTTGGGTGCGGCATTCTGGTGTCGTATCTCCCTCTTCCAGCCCTTCTGGGCCTGGCGATCGCCTGCCTTCTCCACAGCACTAAGGAGAGCATTGAAGGCAACGGCCTCGATTCACCCGGCTTTGCAAGGATTTGAGAGCAGGCTTCGGGGTTCCTGGCTCCAGTCTCCGTGTGACTTGTCTGCAAACTTCCGGACTTGAGATCTTGCAGCTCTCCGGACCAAAACCCCAAAGACCCCGGCATCCGTCTCGATGGAGCCACGGCGAGCATAAAGGAGCAGCTGGTGTGCAAACTCCCACTCCACTGCCTTTTCCTTGGGCATCAGCTTGAGCACGGGCTCGCACTGTGACATGGGGGCTGAGGGCTGTTTGGGGCTCGCAGCGCGAAGGCTCTCGTGTCAATTCGTGCACCCTCAATACCCCCACCCGAAGTGCCTTTCGCACCGGCGCACCGTGACAAAGCCCCAAGTCGAGCTGCGCAGGCACTGGCAGCCGAATTGCAGGTAACCTAGGGGACCGGAACTACGGAGTGGCAGAGTCAGGTTGAATTCTTTTGATTCGTCCAGGAGGCCGAACGATTTCTAGAGGCCGTTCGTGGCGCCAACGACCCAAGGAACCCCACCTCTCTGCCAGGGCACGGCATCCGCCGCCACGCGCTCAATTGGCAAGTCGTGGATGCAAACGAGCGCCAAAAGCCACTGCCTTGCCTGGTGGAGATCGGCGCAAGGAAGCCTTTACCAAAAGCTGACAGAACATGCGCGCAGCTTCTAAGGCTTGGCAAGCCCGCCAAAGCCTTTGAAACTGTGGAGAGACCCCAAACCCATATAGCAGCCATAGCAGCCACAGCACCTTCTCCAAGCAGCTCAGAGCCTGGGAAGAGAGGCGACCGGAAGAGGACGGCTCCGACAGCTTCGGCTGCTAAGACCCCTAAATGAGCACCAATAGTACCAGCGTAACATGGACGAGAAGACGAGTCGCAGCACTGGGAGAGCACGATTTTGGGAGGCAGGATCTTTGAGGACTGCAGCAGAAGGACAATGCAAACGGCAAAATGTGCTCAGCGCTATGGCGAGGGCATGATTTCGACTGACGCATGGTACCGAAACTGCTAGAATGGGCAGATTTTCTGAGACCACGCCGAGGCATGTTTGGGAGCCTCGTGGTGTGTCCCTGCAGGACTGTACTAGGGTACAGTATGCGGCTACAGCCGACACAGCGGGAGCCGCATGCGCACCTGTAGCGCGTGCCCTGCGCTCACAGAAACTAAATCCCTTCACATTGAGCCTAACAACCCTGCAGTGTAGCCACACCCACACTTTCTGGGTAAAATATGCCTCTTGCGTCACTTACCCTCACAACGGCCAAAAACCCACCGGCACGGAAAACCAGGCAAGAAAAACTGTCCCAGCTCCCCGCCGTATCTAGCCCAACTCAGCCGGCAGACTCCCAAACCTAACTAAGCTGGTGCATCTCCGCCTTGTAGCCCTGCTCGCATTGACATGAAACATCCAAATTTGCAGCGGGCAGCGGTGTTGTAGGAGATGCGGTCGACGATTGGTCTGCACCCTGTAGAGGCATCAGATCATGACAACTTGCCATTCTCTTCATAAGAGGTCGTGGCCGTCAAAACTGTTACACGAGCTGGATCCCGAGCTGGATTGAGTGCCTCACTTCGTGACTTATAACTTACAACTGATCAAGCTCGATGACTGCGACGCGTCTGTGTACAGCTGGGTAAGTTCTACGGTGCCTCGGAGTAGCTCGCAGGCGTGAGGCCACTGAGCCGCATGTTCGTATGCAGCGAGGGCTGAGTTCAGGCTGATCACCGTCGGCTGCAAGGCCGCCTCGCAAAATGTTGCGGTTCCGACTTCGGGTGTCATGACAGTTGTTGTTCACACCGTCACAAGAAGGCTCACCACACTTAGTCAAATTTTCGCAAATGCTTGACGCAAGGCCTCTCAACTCCTCCATATACCACCTCAAACTACAAAATCACTTGCGTGGCATCCTTGCTCTCTGCGTTTCTCAGTGGCAAGCTTTCAGCCTCCTGCAGAACAGCTCCAGCCTTGTGATGCTGACAGTGAACAACGAGTCATCCTCCATTTCGAAACTTTTAAGCCACTTTTTGAGAAAGCCCTCTTTCCGATAGATTTCAGATTGGGGCTTCAGCCTCCCTCCCTTCATGCGCCCCCCTCCCCCAATCCATATCCCCCTATATCCGATACACTGCGCTAAGAGTCTAAGAGTCAACCTTCCATCAAAGACCATCCAAGCCTCGGGGATGCGAAGCAGGACTCCCAAAGCGGCAATCCACTGCTTTCCATCGCGGCCTCAAGCACATGCGAAAGTGAGAATCTAGCCGGACCTGCATGTGCAGCAGTCGTTGTTGGCGAATGAGTAGAACTTGCTCTTGAGCTATCCAGGGCTTCCAACTTTCGCAATCTCTGGGTTTAAGCGGTATGTGTCTGGGTGACGGGACGCATGCTGCGCTCCTTCTTGGACACCATTGGAGGTTTAAGCCGTCTAGCAAGTTTTACGATCCTGGCTAGGTGCACCGTCGACGTCGTTCCCGAATGTCATGCATTTTGGCTTGCTGCTGCTGCTGCTGCCTGGTCTGCGACGAAGGGTTCCCCGAAACGGAACAAATGGAACATCCCTGTCGAATTTCGTGTTCGGGTCCGGAGCCCGACCCCACCACCCGTCGACCTCGCCGCTCAGAACGAACAATAAGTTTTCCTGTTGCTCTTGCTTCGTGTATTGTCGACGCAGCCATGACTTGCAACCAAACCATGTACCTTCACAGCTTGACATCGAAACTTTGAATCTGATCAATGTCTAGATTGTAAATATGCACTGGAATGGACCGCCTGCTCAGTCTTTGCAGCTTTGCATTTTTGATCGCACTGACCACCCTGGCTTCAGCCATCAAACCGGTAATCCAACCCTCGACTTGAGCGAGCTTGGAGGCCACTCTGATCTCGACACGCAATGCAGGCGCGAAAGAAGTAGTCCTCACATCTTTGGTTGTCCAGCTCTCCACGCATACCCGTACGCACGTCTGCCGGACGAACAAACTAGGCCCGAAAGCGAAATAAATTTGGCAAAACCCAAAGGCGATTGATCTTTCCCCTCCCCCTCATGGAATGCCTGCATCGTCCAGGCAAGGTGCAGGCACGGCTCGCTGTGTGATGAGCCGCGGCATCCCAACGGCCAGATAGGGCCAAGGCAGCTGGCCAAAGACTGCTCCTTGAGGGTCGAGTTACGGCTTTCGGACCGTCTCCTATACCGCACGTGGGACATCTTCGCATGGAAGCTTCAACTTACCGAGGTGGGCCACGCAAGCGAAAAGGGACCGGAAAAAGGCACTCCGAATTACAAATTCGGCCCCGAGCAAGCAAGCATGAAGCTCGGACTCCGTTAGGCACACAAAAATCCGCAACCCCCATTGCGGCGGGAAGGCGGGGCAAAATCTGAGAGCGAAAGCTTGACATTGAGGGTCAACACGAGACAAGCAGCAGAGCATGTGTGTAAAACGCGTGCGGTCGCACAGACATGCGCAGCACGTCAAGTAAGAGCAACTGACACAGGTGAAGCAAACACTGACCTGAACGCTAGACGAACAGCCAGGTACGTGGTTGGCTTCCAACACAGGCCATGTGCAGTAAGGCCGCGTCAACAAGTAAAGATTTGCTCAGCCAACAACTTCGGCTCCGAGTTCACCTATTCATGTCGGACAACCCTTAAACACCACAATAACTGGCAGAATCGTGGTGCAAGCTTTGGCGAACGTCGAACGTTGCAGCTCTTTAGCGTTTCTTGCTAGCCGTGGACTTCATTGGAAGCTTTAGATTAGACACCCAACTTGGCCTCTCTCCCGCTCCAAGAGCGACTCTGCAGCCGACGGCCTGCCAGCGAAGCCATCAGCGGATCCGAGGAGCGGGGTACCAGTTCTTTCATGCTGGCATGGAAGCTTTGAAGGAAAGAGAGCCGTAATACAGTATGCTGTTCGGTGCACTGCGGTGGTACCCACTGGCAAGGCAAATTCAGCAACTCTAATATCGCACAGCTGCCTCAAGAGGCCACTCTGCCAGCAGCGCCTGTCGGAGGAAGGAAGAGTCAGGGATTTGTGGCACGCAGCGGAGACGGTCCCCATTTTGCGGTAGGTATCGGTCACGTAAGCGACTTCGGCTAAGGACGCTCATAAAGCCCCCTCGGGATATCTTGCAATAGAAAATCCTATGTCGATATCAGGAGAAACCCTGTCCGTGTCCCTGCTTGGACAGCCTGCGCATGGGGCCAGTCTCCGGCGGCGACGATGTGACTCAGCGGAGCGGGGGTGGACGTTAAGACGCGAAGTTTATGGCTTCGGCATGCTTCACCTGCAGGGTGAGAGAACGCATTTGACCCCCTCTCGACACATCATCCCATGCACCCCCCAGGTCGACCTCATGTCCGAGTAGACAAAGTGCAGCGGCTGAAGATTCCATCAGTTGTGCTTCCGCTTATGGGCCCATAAGGACGCACATCTTCGGATTTCCTGAAGAAATTCCGGATACTCAAACACATCGGGAAGCACCTGTCGACGGTCGAGAGAGCAAGCTGTTATAAGATACTCTGACGATCGACAGGACGGCAATGGAGCGATGGACAGAGCGAGAAAGGGGAGATAGAGAGAGAGAGAGAGAGAGAGAGAGAGAGAGGGAGCGCGCTTGATCAAGACGGGCAGCAGGGCCGTGCTGTAGGCGATGCTGTCAGCCTCGGGTATTCGAATCCCAGATGCTCTCCATGCCGACACAGTGTTAGTGGTTTGTCCTATAATTAGCCTGCACTTCGAACGGCGGGATGCCAACGACCTGCCCAGTTGCATTCCTCGACCCAGCATCCTCCAGACCCTGCTTTCTGTCCGAATCCCCAGCGCCCCAGAGCCCAAGCCGCTGAAAAAGTCCGGAAAACGCTTCGCCTCGAGGCGTCGGTGGCACAGCTCTTTGAAGAGGCCGAGGGCCTGCTGCCAGCCTAGGACCATGAAACAGGCCCAGGCCCCTCCACTCGGCTCGAAGGCTTGGTTCTTAAGGAGCTTTGCCCATCTAGCTACTTGTTATTACTATTATTACTATTATTATTACTATTACTATTATTATTGTTATTATTTTTATTACTTGTAGCTACCAGTAGTTTCTGATATATGCTGGAGCTTCTGAGGGGTGGGGACGACTTCGTCGGTCTAGTGCTGTGAATGCGTTTTGGACTTCACACGGCTTGCCGGGAAGCACTGTGGCAGTTTGCCGCCGAGATGAAATCGATCCTAATTCGTCGACCTTCATGCAACTAGGCCTCTGTGACGAGAGTTGCTCGAGGACTCTGCGACACTAACCTTCTAGCCGCGTGCGAGTATTTACTGGTACTCCGAACCCTGGACAACCTAGACCCCATGAATGGTTTCAAAACATGGTTCACAACAATGAAAGCGAAACTTACATTGAAAGCCTGACACTCACACCATATGATGGAACCCAAAGCCATTGGCGACACCCGCTCTACCTGACGCTACACTCTACACGCGCCGAGCACTGTCAAGCAACACACTGCCATCTCGCATGCTTTGATCGTGGAACTGAAGACCACGAGACTGGGGGCCAAGTGGACCTCCAGGAATCCAGGGTTGTTGCCAGCTCGGCTGTACGGCTCAGAGTTAGGCAAGCTTCAGGAGACCTGCAGACCCGGCTCAGTGTTTGACACAGCTAATGAAAGCAAGAGCAAGACATGGCAAGCTTCGCATCCTGCACTTCCAACCCCCTCACTGCTTCACATTCCTTGCATGTTCCGTGCCGGGGTTTTTACTTGATCGAACAGAAACGTGATTCTGAGAAGACGTCCTGGCAACCAAATGGTATACTTTACGTGGCATGCTTTGCACATCCACTGCTGCAATCGGTTATACGGGCTTTGCCCCTGCGCGCTTTGCGCCTCATCGAAACCTGCCATGAGACACACAGCACGCTGCCATTCGCCGGCCCGAGCGAGGGCGGCCGCGGCAGCTCCATATGCAACGATGTTGGCCTGGGTCTCCATGTTCCGAATTTTAAGAACTCTTGCAGGCTTCATCTACGCGTGAGGGTGAACAGAAGCGTCTCGCAAATATACATGTTGCAGGACTTTGCAGAGCTCGTTCTCTTGGGGAACGCGCAGAACTTCAACCCGCACACCCGAAACAACATGCAGGCACCTACAAGGACCCCTCGTCAAGCTGCGTGGAATTTATCATTTCCAAACCATGACATTCCCTTAAATGACCGATGAGCGACTGAGCTGCCGGCCTCGACGGTCCCTTCCGCCATGGAACCCAGAATTGCTGTGGCTTCTCGCCATCGTCCCTGCGCAATCGGAGGCAGCTAGTCCCAAACCCAAGTCTCGTTGCGAGCAGGGGGTTGGATGTCGGCTCGAGTCGGGATTCTCGCACCTTTGCACGGGGGGCCGTAGGGCCCACTGCAGTGCTTGCAGTTTGTGCTCCAACGAGGTTGGCTTACAGAGACAGGCTACAGGAGAGAATACCAGCTTCCTCGTACCTTGTGAGGTTAAGCCCGTCCCCCCCTCCAAAAAGTGAGCTAATCCACATACATCTAAAAACCTCCGATACGACTCAAGCAGGCAACGATGTGCATGCCAACTCCCGCAACCCGCGCCCCACGTATGAAACTCACGAGCTTGAGGAATTCGGAAATCGCTTTTCAGTTTCGCCTTCCGCACACTCTGACCTCGCTTCTCCAAACGTTCACACGCAAGACCTGCATGAGTGTTTGGCACCTACAACCGGAACATCCATCGTGAGCTTGGAGCAACGGTGCTCAGTCAATTCCGCCCCTCACAAGCAGAGAAGTGGCGCTCCAGCTAATGGCGGTTGCAGGAAGCAACCAAAGCAACCCGGGTGCAAAGGCTCAAACTTGAAGGCTCGCTGGAGCTCGCATGGCTAGTGCTGCCACTGCTACTGTTTCAAGCAAGGACTTGATGGACTCCCCTGTGCACTCCGGGGTTAGGTTTTGTGGCCTGGCAGGCACTGATGCAGGTGCTGTAGGTGACGGCAGTGGGTCGCAGCTGATCCTTTGCTTGTGATGGACTTCGGCGATTCGGGTACCAGTAGATACGGGAGACTCATGCTTCTACGGCGCGAATGCATCGTGATGCCATACACAGAAGATTTCAAGCCGTCCCATACATCTAGTAGTTGCTGGCTGTTGCGCAGTGCTAGAAGTTCGTCAGCACGTGACTCTCAAGCGGCTTTTAATCACGAGAAAGTGGCAATGAGTAGGTCGGATAGAAGCTGGAGGGCTTCGTGCCTGCAGGCAGGACGAAAGGGTTTGCATGTCTAAATCCCAGACCGGTGAAGGCAACCTAGCCGCTTTAATGCCGAAGCTCCGGGGGCATGGAGAGGGACATGACTGCAGAATTTAGCCCAGGTACCACTGTTCAGAGCTTCCGCAAGCGGAAATCGCAGCGTTGTAGGTGATGATCTGAGCAGGCTGCCGAGAATTCTTTATGCCGCGGCCAAGTCCGGATGCATTGGGATGGGGAATGCTCCATGCAGCACTCAATCGAAGCACTGAGTAACCTTCAACGTCCGACATCGAAGCCCGATACCCCAAGAGCAGAACCAAACAACTCAACGACCCGCATCGTAAACGCGAGGGGACGAATCTGAAGCCAAAAGACGTTGGGCTGCAAGCGAAGAGGCTGCAGTTCTTGCAAAAGCCTCGGGAGACGATAGGCTACGGCCACAGCTATTCTGTGTTCCCGAGGGTTGGAACCTACGGTAGCAGGGAAAAGTCTCTGTTTTTCGGACCTGGCAATTGCCAAGGTTGTCTAGTCAGCCCCGAGATGGATACCCCTGCCATCCCGGCACCATATCGCTCGAACCGACTTCACGTCTACACACGTCGCAGTAGGGGCAAGCTGCGCAAGAGCTTGCAGCCAATGTCCTGTCCGGATGGAGTTTGGCGTATCTTCGCTTGTTTTCCGACGACAAGCATACGGGGGATTGGCAGATGTTGCTAGAGAGGCGGGTGTAGAGCCGCAGAACCACAGGCAAAACCCCACCTGAAGAAAGGGCCAACCTCTGCCCTTGGGAGCGAGAACGAAAGAAACGGAGTCAGAGATCCTCCAAACGAGTCGGTCCTACACACGCAGCGATGGCGGTGCTGATGACGACGACGTTGGGGTCGAGGCTTCGCTGGGGAAGGTGTCCTGCCAAGTCGACTTGCAACTGTTCTGTTTGCACCTGGGGCTTGTCGTCTGTGCCTCCTTCTTGAGACTTGAGGGCGACTTTTGCACCTGCAAATCCCTTCGACTTCACTGTCACATTCCTGAAGACCGATGAAAATCAAGATCCCTGGAGTGCATGCGGGGGAGCTGTGCTGCTATATACCTCCTGCACAGATACGGTTGCCCTTAGGACAAGCGCCAAAAACTGATCGAGATTTGGAGGCTGAGGGTGGCCCTCCCTGTCGTGCTTTCCCAACACCGGCACTGGCACTCCTAATTACCGCGCCCACATGCGGCAGCAGAAGCACTGCAAAAGCTGCAGCTCCCCTCGGCCCTCGGCACGCCTAGGAGGCAGAGCGCCAGGAGCCACTGCCCGGGGCCCAAGGCTCCGAGCGCCGCGCCGACGGTGATGATGTTGTTCTGCCTGGGCTCAATTAAGGCTCTCCGGCAAGGGTCCTCAGCCTAAGGATTTTGGACTGCCATTTCGTGCGCTTTGGACCCTTCGGCTTCATAAATGTGCCACAAGCCATCGAGTCAAATGTTGGCCTGTTTACAAGAAGCCACTTTCGCGGGATTTGGAGGCGTGCCATGTTCATGGTTTACGAAAAGACGTTGCCATTGCAGGGTCTGCAATGTTAACTGCGTACTGCATGCGCTATCTTCGTCATCTGAACCCGCGTCCTTCACACATCTTGCTTCGGGTCTTGAGTCGTTTTGATGTCGCAGGCAGGGCACAAGGGACATTTCCTGAAAGCTGAGTTGCGGTTTCAATTGCTTAGCAGGGGTTGCGGAGGGGTTGAGGTCAGGGCGGCGGCCTGAAAGCCTTGCAGCATTCTTTTGTCGCAGTCGCAAAACCTGCAGATCCTTTCAAGCTCGAACGCCTTGGAGATGCAGACTTCACTCCGTATGCATATGAAGCAAGCTGCAGCCGCACGTGATCCACCTCCTCGAGCAGTTCCAATGCTTGCTGCCAGCAGTCACCTGCTGCGACGGGGCGTCTACTCTGCCTTGCATGAAGAGGGCAAATACAGGACAGAACATTATCCGAAATGAACCGAGTTCGAGACCCCTGGCCCCACCTCGGGCACACGCCGTGAGTGCAGCGGTGTAGGAGACCTCCGTCGCCTGCCGGGGATTCGGATGGAAACAGGAACTGGTTCAGTTCGGTGCCTGGGGTCCGGGTGACTCTGATGAAAACGTCGCAATTTCTGAACAGCTTGATCGAACTGAAGCCAGTTCTTCTGCCACAGTCAGTGATGACTGCGATCGCAAACGGAGCAAGGAGCTTGGCAATTTGGTCAAGACATATTGTTGAGCCCCTCGTCCGAAACGTGCCCCTGTTGTGCCTGCAGCTTTGCTTCCGGCAGAGCCCCAAAAAGCCGCAGTGCTTCCGGCCAAGCGCTGCCTTCTGCAAAGTCATGGTCCAAGCAAGCAGGCGCGACGATTTTGGTCTCAGCAACTTGATTGAAGCAGGAATGCCGTGTCAATGTGGGCTTGAAGACTTGGGGACCCAAATTGCCTCAACATCGGCTGGCTCCTTCCACCCCGGCCTTTTGCACTCGAGCTGAGGGCTGCATTGTATTTGACAACATCCTGGAACAAGTCCGGCCACTGCCGGACCGAAGGTCCGTGGGTACTGACATCCAGATATCCCGGGCTTCATGGCTTCATCAATGATCAATGTCAGCAGGTTGTTCACAGTCACGCACGTTTGATCAGGTTTGTGCAGCAGCATGTAACTGTCCTTGCATGCAGCACGCGACCTCATCAACCCATCTATGGCGACCCCACAACATCCAAGCCTGACCAGAGCGAGTCCCGAAATCGAACACATCTCAGCCTCCTTCAAAAGAAGGTATACCAGCGCTAGCAATACGTGCGGTTGCCACATTGGGTGGCAGAATCAGGGTGCTCACTTTCAACTAAGCTGTCGTGATACTCCAACAACATCTTGATTTCAACTAAATGCGCATGGGTTTGTCAAGGCATTCATGAATGCGTATGCTTTCGTAGAATTACCTGTATGTAGGCTACCCCTGTTTTCGGGTATCTACTTACCATACAACAGATC